AAGAGAGACCCCCCTGAAGGCCATCCTGAGTACTGAGAGAAGTTTTGGTGCTGCCACTTTACCTTTTCAGTGGGCCGAAAAACGATGGGCAGACTTAAGGAGATGCCAGGGCTCAGAGTAATCGGCTGCGGAAAAACAGTGAAGAAGAACTGCGTGGAAGGACACCTGGATGATGAAATCAAAACGAGAGGTTTTGTCTGAGGGCACACAGCTGATGTTAAGTCAGACAGCAGAAAATAGAGTCAAACCCTCCAGACCCTAAATTAGAAGCACTTTACACACCTGACCCCAAGGGTATCTTGTTAGCAAATCAACAGAAACAAGGGCAGAATCCAGGTGTCCTGGAAACCCATTCCCACCTCTAAGTACCTACCCCTTCCTTGAATCACATTTTACATTCCCAGGCCACACAGCAGGAAAAAAACACGTTTGGCAGAAACATTTGAGTTTCAGAGCAGGGTGGGTCACAGGGACTGGAGTGGCTCAACATCCAGCAGGACTACCGGGAGCAATGGTTTCAGGACACACCAGTGACTGGCTGGCAAACATCCACAATTACAATCTCACTAGACTGGAAATGCCTCACAGACAGAAGTATCAGCAAAACAGAACTTTTAAAAGGCATTTCAGTTAAAATAACTCCTGCCAGGAACAAGGGAATCTGAATTAGCAGGTTTCTGTCCAACTATGTAAGTGTGCAAGTGGAGAGAGGACAGATGAATCCAAAGAAAGGGTGTGACTGATACAGGAGGGATGAAGATACAGTGAGAGCGTGAGGAGTAGGAAGGAAAAAGAAACTTCCCACGCACCTGTAGCTCAGCTTCTGGGTTTTCTCATGAACATTTTTCAAGATCAGGTGCTTGATCATCTCTTTTCCAAGTTCCCAGCCATGCCACTTGAGCGTTTCAGCCACCTCAATGCCCCAGAATACAGCTTTCTTCTTCTTTGCCTTTTTTGCAGACAGCTCAAGGAGGGTGGAGAAATCTCTCAAACAGCTGTTTCTCTACGCTAAAAGTCTGACTCTGGCAAAGGACGGGAGGAGCCACCCTGCGGTAGAGCTCCAGGAGTCACCAAATGCCCTGCTCAGGGGCCCAGAGGGGACACCTCCTGGCCACAGCCCAAACAACAGCCAACTAAAAAGAGTGTCATGAACGAGGGAAGCGGAAGCTAAAGGCTTTCTGTTTTATTCCCTGACCTGCCAGTAAATCCACCCACGGCGCTGGCACCACTGGCCCTTCACTCACCTTCCCGACACAGTCACTGCTCGGCTTCTGGAAAGGGTCAGAGTTTGGGGGCTTCTCCTGCACCTGACTAAGCATCTGAAAAGCAAAAGGAAAAAAGGCCTCGTGCACGCTGTTCCCACAGCCAGACAGTCCTTGCTGCCGAGACCCTGGAGCTCCCAGAGACCCCAAGACCTCCCTGCAGGGTCCCCAGTGCTGTCCCCGTTTCACCAGCTGAGCTCAGCCCTCTCCACAGGCCTCACCGACCCCAGGCAGCCACAGCCGTGTGCCCAGCAACCCCCTGTGGCACAGACCACAACGCCCCACCTCACCCGCAACTCGGCCCCCTCGTGGCAGAGCTCCCCTTCAGCTTTTATAGCGCAGCCCTGCAGAGCCCAGGAAGCCGAGCTCTGCCCTACAGCCCTGCCTGGCCCCCTGCACAGCCGCCTGTGGCACCGCCCTGCTCC